GCTGGTTCTGTGGAGGTGAGTGGTTTATATTGTAGGTTTTTAAGGGTCTTTAAAGGTACACTTTAGGTTCTTCAAAGATTCATCTGTTCAAGATATTTAAAGAGTGAGGTTTCTAAGGGAACATCATGATGCTGTTACCCTTCCTCCTTCTCCAGGCAGTCTTTGCTGGCTGCCAGAGGTTCAGTCTAGCCTGCTAGTGACAAACTCAGAGAAGGAACAAATGATGTATGAATCACAGAAGAATCACAATTTTACTCCAGGATAAAGCAGGGACAGGATATTAGTGCATGAGTAGGTCCTACAGATGTCCATGTTGACATGCTTTTTTAGCATGGTTTTGTCGTGTATCGATTAGTTGTCTCCCAGGCATGGTCTGGGCACAGTTCAGGAGGTGAACATGTACCATGGCTATAAGCAGTTTGGATATGTCCATTCTTTTCAGGAAAGGGATTTAACCTTGAGGGAGGAGGTGTTCTGTTCCACTTGGCCTCAGAGCCTGAGAAGAGTCACTTTCTTGAATTCTTTAGTAATACAGAGCAAGCCAAATTGACTCAGGGACGATGAAAACTGATAACTGGGTCTGAAGGGTCAGCCTAAGGAACACCTTTATGGGGAGGGAATTCTTGCATCAACTGCAGAGATGCTGCTCATCTGCAAATATTGTTTTGTTTTCTGTTTTAAAAGCTTTGATGTTCTAAAGGATTTATTTGCAAGCAAATCCCTCCAATTTTCGTCGTTGTTGCTGATGGCATGTCTGTGATTGTGGGAACTCAGCAACACTTATAGGTACGCTGCAACAGATTACCATGCTGCCAGTAGTTTTCATGCAGCATTACTGTACCACGGTCAGAAATGGTTGATTGCACAGGAGAAGGAAGTGTAGAGGAATCATTGAGTATTTAGATAATGATAGATGGAACATGAGCCTGATTGCATTTGACTTAAAAGCAACCTCCTTTGCCGCTTAAAAACCAAGATCCCACTCCTGAAAATATTGCACCTGCCTCCCATGGTAATTTTTTTAGTGATTTTTATAGAGAAAGGATTTTCAGATACATCTAGTACTTTGTCCATTTGGAGAGAGGTGACACTTCATCTTTCACTAAGACACTTCAGGCTCATTTTCACACCAAATCCATTTTCATTCCTGCTATATGAACCTGTAACACAGGTTATACAATTAGGAGGAAAGTGTTTGCAGAAACAGTAAGGAAAACCTGATAAATGAAATCTGCTATATGCTGCTAGTCATGCTGATGCTATTCCAATAAACACAAACATATTTTTGCATACCCAGTTTAAAGACACAGAGTAAAATAATTTATGACCAGAATTGTCTTTCATTCCTTGCAACATTTATATGTATAAAATACTATACACACAAAAAATATGTTAAGGGAGCAATACTGACATAAAGTAGAGTGCTAGAAAGGCAATGCTGTAGTTACTGTTGTAGTTATAATATTATAGTTAACACACTTTTTGTTCAGAAACTGAGTCCCTCTCTGTGAATGCTCTATATACAGTCTTTATGCAATTATGAGCATTTTTTAAGGCGAGTGTTTGGTTTAGGGAGGGAATTTGCTTTCAAGGCAAATGCAGTGAGATTTATATCACATCTGTTATTATCCAAGTGGAGCCTTGTCTTGCAAACGAGATTTGTCTTATAGAGTGCACAGTTTGGGCAGCCTTCAATTTAGGAGTGGATGCAAAATACTTTTCCAAGTGTTACTCTATAATTTTTTCTATTTTTTTTCCCCTGTACGCTATTCAAACCTTTGGAAGACAAAATCGGTCATTTCCTTGTGGGACTTGGTATTCAGCTCTTTCACTGTAGTTTCTGAGTGCCTCAGAAATGTTAATGTGTTGTTACCAATTCTCGAGGAGGTGATGTGATATCTCCTCTTTATAAAACAGGAGTGAAGGGTGGTGGTTGAAACATGGGTCTGAGAGCATTTGCTAATTTAGGGGTCATATTCCATGACCTGATTTCTTGAACTAGTGCATTTCTCTTGATCAAGGCACATTCCCTATTGTTGATTTTAGTGAGTGCTGCAATCTCACCCTCAGGGTTGGAAACTGAAGACCAAAGATATAAGGAATAGTTATTTGGTGACCAGCTGAGTCGAGATTTAGTGTAAGCAGCTTCCCTAGCAGCACATAAGAACTGTGAAGCAGAGGCTGGCATACAGTGCTTTCTGAAAGGATGATGCTCGTTTCCAATTGTCTAGAGCCTCTTTCTTCTGATTCTACTGTGTCTTTGAATATCTGTAACAAATGAGGGAGCGCTCCAGTGAGCCTTTCTAGCTGGACTTCTGATAGATACCTACTTCAGGAAAGATACCTACTGACAAGTCAGAAAACAGATTGTTTATTTTAAGAGCAGACTCAGAGAAAACAGTCCTACTGCTTCAACTTTGACAGCTTGTCCCAAGTTTTTCTTGTTATTGCACAAAATAGAATGGTCTATGTATACATTAAAAAAGAACCCATGTTTTGTCTTACAGTAGTCATCTGATGACAGCACCTAAGTCAGTCTCTTCCTTCAGCTTAATATCCTGCTATGTACTTTTCTACTTGAAAACCACTCATCTCTGCTCAAAAGTGGTCTGTAGTGTCAGCCCAGTGACATTAGTTTACTACACTGAATGGTGTTGCTGCATGTAAAACTATCCCATTAGCCTGTTTGCAATATAAAATAGGCTTCTGCATTTTACAGGCTTATACAGTGTAGTAAGAATCTGGCAAGTGTAAAGGAAAAAGGTGTTAAGGAGAGCTGGCAGCTCCTTAAAGAAACAATATTAAGTGTAAACTCTTCCAATAAGGAGAAAAGTTAAGGAAGTGCACTAGAAGACCAGCGTAGCTAAATTGCCAGCTCTTCATGGCTCCTAAAGAGAAGTTGTTTTTTACAGAGTGGAAAGTAGGTCAGATTTCCAAGAAGGATAAAAAAATAGCATGTAGTGACAATAAAATCAGAAATATTGAGGCACAAAATGATATTAAAATATCTAGGTTTGTTACAGGTGGTAAGAATTAATTTTTCATGTACATTAGTAATGAAAGAATGACTGAAAGGAAAGGTTAGAGGGTGAAAGGAATCAACAGATGGCATTGGGAAAGCCAAAGCATCCTTGGATTGTTTGGGTCTTTCCCAGTACAGTGGATACTGTTGCTACTGATAACATGGGGGACTGTACTGCCACTGCAGTATCCAGAACATCTCACATGCACAAATGAGTGTCTCTGTACATCCTGGTAACTAGAGAAGTGTACACCTTCCACCTGCACCCACCAACTTTAGGATGGTTTGTCCAGAGGACATTGCTGTACAATGCCTGAAATACCAATTGAAGATGACTTGAAAAGTGTTTGGGAACAGTGCACTGTTGGAAGGAAAGGGAGGAGCCCAGAGGTACCTTCTTTGCAAGTACTGTTCTGTAGTTTTGTTAATGAGTTAGATGATGTTACTAAGTGCACTAACAATTTATGTAGAAAGCTGGTAAGGATGAAAGAAACCACTAAAATTCAAAGTGGTGTTGGTTAGTTGGAGAATTAGACATAAAAAGAATGGTCAAAGTTCAACAAGGACGTGTTCTATATGTGACTTGGGAGTAACCAGCTTTAATGATAAAGGCTGGGGAATAACTTCCTAGAGAGTAACTATTCAGAAAAAAAATCTGAGAGTTGCAAGGAATCACAAGCCAGTACATGAGTACATTGTCACGGTGTGGTATGTAGTATTCTGGAGTCAATAGAAAGGAATATAGCTTGCAGAACATATGGCAAAAAAAAAAAAAATCTTTCTTTGCCTAGAGCACCTTGTCAGGTCACAGGGACTGTACGTTGAGAAAGAAGTAAATCAACAAGACTATGCAGAGGGACAGTAACAACACTGAACAGTCAGTCCCAGATAACATGACTGATAATATGCATTGAGCACATTGGCATTATGTGGGGTAGATAGCAGCAATATGATTAGTGGTTATTATAGTCTTCTGTATATATGGGCTGCTGCAAAGCTGGGGAGAATAAGCTGGTTTCTATGCCTGTGACAGCACAAAGACTAAAGGTCATATGGTCCAGGAAAAGAGATCATGCAACCACAGTAGAAGTACTCCAGCACTGGAAGAGTTTCAGTCAGGAGGTTATTGAACCCCATAAAGCCTTCAGGAACAATTAGGAAACATCTTCTGACAATAATGTAAGTTGTAGTCGATTCTGCTGTGGTGCTGGACATCTCCTGATGCCTCTTCCAGGCAGAAGTGTGTTGTTTCCTAACACACTTTCACCTTTTATATCCTTTTAATTCTTGGTGAATATCACTGTTCTCTGGATAGGAATTTCTTAAATGGTGGGGGGGATTAAAATTTAGTAAATCCATGGTAGTAACCTGGGTACAGACTTCATGGGAAAGTGCTTTGAGCTACTATATTTGACAGCAGCTGCAGCTGTAAGAGTCATAGGCCACAACTTCTTAGTGAGAGTGTTCCTTCTAGGCAGAGTAATGACTGGGACTTGCTTTCTAATCAACATATTTTCTGAAGACTTTTAAAATGCATGTAACAGTCTGACATACCAGCTGTCACCAGAAATCATGTCCCCCACCAACACCCGCATGTGGTGCGTTGGCACTCGTCACACAGAGAGGGAGTGTTGACAAGTCCTCTTGCTAGTCACCTTAGGAAGGGAGGAAAGAAGCCAGGGTTCAATGTAGGCAATCTCAGGAGAAAACCACGAACATCAGAACTGGAACAGTCTGAGCAAGGAGTAACTGGGCTGGCCCAGGGCTTTTACAAGCCCAAGAGGAAATAAGTGCAGCAAAAGAGAAATTTTCTCCAGCCTCATCCTTGTTTAGCTTGGTGTTTGGGACTGATTCGAACCTCTCTCATCATGGGACAGCAGTGCAATGCCATTCATGGCCAATTTTTCCAAGTTCCAGAGCCTTGAGTAGCTACAGTTGCATTTGTGTTAAAACTGAATTATGCTTTCTTTTGACTTAGAAGCCGAACTTGATTTCCAAGCCAATGCTTGACAGCATCCTTTGTCTTCGAGATGACAGATGGAAGTATGTGCGGAGCCTCCTGACCCCAGCGTTCAGCGACACCAAACTGAAAGAGGTAAGGTGTAGACAGTTCTGATTTCGTAATTTAGAAGACTTGTGCAGGCAGCTGCTTTATGTAGGTCTATATTAAGGATAGGTAAAACTTGCTACTTTGTGCCAGTTTATTTAGGCCTGAAGAGCACCTGCAGTAGACCATAAGTACAGCATGGTCCAGGTCATAGACTGGTGAAAGTCAGAATAGCTCAGCTGAGGATATGATCCTCTGTCTTCCTCTATATGAGCCACTTTGTCCATGAAAGTGTAGCATACTCAAGAAGGACCCTTACATCTTCCCTATCCTGTTAGGAGTAAGCTAAAGTACAGAAAGGTTATTGCTCCCAGTTGGAACATAGCTTTTCATGATGTGCAGAGTCAGCAACTCTCACATTAACACAGGAACTGCTATCAGTCTATTTTCATTTCTCCATCTCCTTCCCCTCCCCTCCTCCTTTTATTCTTTAATCCTTTCATATAATAAAATAAGTCACTGGAACAGAATGTCATTGCCAGATAAATACCTCTGACTGAAAATAAATGTCTCTGTGCTGACCTGCTGCTAATTTCCTATAAATGTATCAGCATTTGCTCAACCATAGGAGCCCATTACCTGGTAACAAAGTCCTGTTGCAGTGACACGATATCTCTTAATTAAACACAGATAAATGATTGACTGGTTAAAGTCTTCTTTCAAGGGGAAAAAAAATCAACTCCACAACAACCAAAAAATCACCTTTTCCTTTACGTATTTTATTCTGAAAGGGAATCATGCCTCACTCTGGTGCCCAGTCCTGGGTTGTAAAATTTTCCACTGGGCAGACGCTTGTGTTGTTTTGACATGCCGCTGTCGAAATCCACAGTAACATCTAAATGTGTCTGCCTCTCCCAGCTCTATAGACAGAGGTTGCTTAGCAACACCGACTGTCACCTCCTTATTATGGTAAATTCTAATTGGCCGTGAGCCTGGTGGAGATGCTGATTAATCACGACTGACAATGCCATTGGTTATGCGCCCCGACATTTGCTCTGTCACCGGCTCCATCACGAAATTTTAGCAGGGCAAGGATGTTTAAATATGCAAGCGATTAGGTGCACATGGCATGGTGGGAAGAGGAGAGTTTTGCATTTTCCTGGTGGAAATTAATCTTACTGCAGGTCATCAGCTCTTTTCTGGCGGACTAACAAAAGATAACACTGCTCTCCCCTCAATTTGCGGAGAGCAACCTCTGCCGGCACCAACCGGGCAGGCTTGGCTGAGGAGCACAGTGAGGGCAAGCGAGCGGAGCCTCGGGTGTCCTGCTTGGGCACACGTGGGTTTGCAGGGTCTGACTGATCAAACTGACTTGGGAGGAGAAGTAATGGCACTCCCTTTGCAATGCTTGTTGGTGGAGCTGGAACGAAGGAATAGTGGTAGGAGGTAGAGTTGAGGGCTGACCAGTGCCTGGTAGCTGTCTCGCATGCAAAGACTGAGCTCTTTATTTTTAGCCTGATAATCACCTTTCCCCATGATGCCTCTTCCAAGCTCTGTGGAAGGGGTGTGACTGTGCATGGGCTCAGGGTGACCTGGAAATGGTTACTTTTTCCTCCCGTTCTACACCAAGTGGGAAAAAGAGGAATGGGGCAGGTCTCTCTGAAAAGCTCAGCTTTGTTCCTCTCTCCCATGCCTTCAGCAGAAGTCTGTCCATTTTGACACAGAGAGACACTTGCAGTAAACCCATATGAGATTAAGAACTGCTGTTGAACGGATGTGCTCCTCAGCCTCACATTTCATTTTCTACCCAAATACATTAACAATCCTGGGATCTGAAGTTAATGCAACTTAAGTCCTTGCCCATGTGCTTTTCTTGCTGTTGCTTAATTTGGAAGCCATACCAACACTTCTTAAAGGAAATTGATGCTCATTAATTATGATCTCACTTTTTTACTCTCCCATATTTGGTACTCTCTCAGAACCTCTGCAGCAGCATGGAAACAAAAATACCATATTCTACTATTGGCCATACTACAGAGTATTCAGAGTTATGTAGAAGACATCCTGTTTATAATAAACCCTTCCTCTGTACTTCAAAGCAGTTACAAGCAAGCTAGCTTTGGTATTAATTTATTGCATAATAACCTGGATATGTTATTTTATACATATTTATAAATACTACTAGGCACTTATTTTTTCTCCCAAGACATTGATTCTTTTGCTGCAGAGGTCCAAGCTCTGATAAAATTCCACACCAAAGTCTTCCTCTCTGTTCACTCTGGATGTCTGCCTTGCCTTTGTTCCTGTATGCAAACTTCCCAGTGATGCTGGAGAGACTGCAGACCTGCTGAGTGGTTCCTTGAGTGCTGCAGCCCCTAGTGCCACTCCAAACATAGACTTGTCTGTCTGGATGCTCTGAGAGAACTGAGAGCTGTTAGCCTGTGACAGAGCAAGAAATGTTAACAACTCCTTGTGCTCCCCATAACAATCACTTCAGATAAAAGATGCACCAAGAGCCAGAGACTGATGGTTCCTGATAAGTCCATTTCAAAAACACAAGAAGGGACAGTTTCTGGGCTAGCAAGAATGAGAAACTGGTCATCTACTTTAACCTGGCTGGAGGACAAGAGCCAAGGCAGAGCTAATGTATTTTGCTAAGATTTAACCTGCAGTGCTCCACAGAGGCACCTGGCTGCTGTGACTCTTGTCACTCCACAGTAGTGTAATGTCACTGAGAAGTTTGCTGAGCTTGAGGAATTTCCCCTTAGTTTGACAAAAATCTCCAACAGCCAGTCACCAAATGATAAAAAACTTGATTCCAGAAATTTTTAATTTTTCAGTTACAGGAAATGAACTGAAACTAGAGGTTATAGAGCTGTTGGGTAGCCCATATAGTGATTGCTGCATGTATGCAGAGAGTTATTTTCATAACATTTTTCAAGAGCTTCTGACATCTTCTCTAGCTTTCTCTTTCTCTTTTCTCAAATTCTCTTTAAAAGCCATGCGCTGTTTCACTGTTGCTTTTATGGATTTCTATATATTGGGTGTTATCCCTTTTTAATTTTCTTTTTCCAATAAGCATGTGAAGATTAGTAAAGCAGTTGAGATGAGGGAGGGGAGCTTGGACTCGAGAATTGGATTTTGGGGCTCTCAAACCACGACAGCAGTCCACTCTGAGTGAAGGAGGTTTTGGCTCCAGATAACATTAAATACAAATACTATAGTGGTGGTGAGCATAGCATAAGGCAATAGACTTTTAAGCTTGGTCCTGCAGTAAGATTTGGTAGCATCCCATATGACATGCCACTGGAGTTGGTAGCAGATCTGATAATAAGTTCTTTCCAGTAAGACCCCTTCATAGTGCCTTTGCTATGGGAGCACCAAGAATGAGAAATGAGAGACAAGAGGCAGGAGACCCAAGAAATTTCACTTTCAGTTTTGACATTGACTGCCTGTGGGTGATCTGACAGAAGCCACGTAAATTCTCTGCACATGAAACAACTTTTATCTTTTAAATGGGAATATTACCAATCACTGAAAGTTGATCCAAGATGTAATTCATGAGGAATTGATGAATACCTGGAGGCTCTAAGTAAAAGAATAATTTCCCAGTGTTCCTGTCATGCTTTCCTCAGCTATTATGTATTGAAACAAACTGACATGTTAGTGATCTTACTGTACTGATCTTGATTCCCTATTTAGTATTTCTTATTTTATTCCTCTTCTTTTTACTGTGGTGCCTGTGATGATCCTGCAGTTCTGGACCTCTTGTCAGACTTGATAAATAGCTTTGCTCTCTTTTACAGCCAACACCAGCAGAAAACCTATTGATTTTTATTTATTCTGATGGTGCTGCAGTAGTCTTGTCATCTCCTATCACTATGCTAGGAATCCTCTCCTCCATTAACAAACCATTAAAACACAAAAATTAGAGGAGAGAGCACAGCATAATGTAGCATTGTCCTAAATAACCTGTGAAGTGGAGTTTGTGTTGAGGCATTTCTTTCAAATGAAGGGAGACACAAAGCAGAACTTGGGATAACGTGGCAGAACAGTGCAGGAAAATCCTCTAGTGTCACTCTCAGGCATGTAGATCTTTCACGTCCCACTAGGACGTAAGATCTGACAGTCCAACCATTAAGATTTCCTTGATTTGCTCTTATTCTGTTTGTGCACGGTGGTCAAAGGCATTTTGGGAGGGTCTCTGGAAATTGTTGTTGTTGCTGGGCAAAGCAAGCGTGCTCACCTAAGGCAAATCAAATAACTAACATAAAAACTGATATGTGAAATGTGCATATCCTTGAGCCACGGGTCAGTGTCTGGTTGAGTTGCTCATTTTGGTAAGTTGTGCCCAGGAATAGCAAGGCCCACTGTCAGGTGATGGGAACAAATCCACTCACAAAAATCTTCCTGACACTCCAGTCTTTTCCTGGTTTTATTCAGGAACTTGAAATCTGGAACAGAAGCAATTCTTGTTTTAGGGATGTATTCTTTTTCCTTCTCCTTCCTTTTATATTTCATGACATTTGTGGGACAAGAGGTCCAATGCGACTTCTCCTTCTGTATGCGAACAGTAAAGTCTCCAGTGTGTCTGTCTACAGTGAACATGATCCAACCTTCTACTTTTTAGTTTACTGTGCTAATAATAAGGGGAATAATAATATTAATGAATACCGAGAGCCACATCTAACTAGAGGAACGTGATTCCGATGGCCTTTGAGCAGTGCAAACCTCCACGTGCGCTGTGTGTACGCAGAAGCAGAAACTAATTGTTGTTATGTGCCAAATAGCGTATTGGCAGGATTTAAACAGCAAAGCCCCTGGCATCATGAAAACCCTAACCCCAAATGCTCTTCTTTGGCAAAAAGAAAGAAATTTGGACTCTGGGCTACTCTTGCTATTAGATAACTGGCAGATCAAATATTTACAGGGACCATATTGTTTAGATTTTTCTTCATCCTGTTCCTCTCAGCCAATCTGAACACAGAGCAGCTGGGGTTTGTTTACCTACCAAGAGCTGAATCTCAGGGAGGTTATGCAGGTTTTATGTTCTAACTGGCAAATGAGAATGTATAGAAAGTCACTGATACCAAGGCAGTGTAGATCAATGAGTCTGTTTCTGTGCTGATTTTCAACATTTGGTATATTTCACCTCCCCCAGCAGTATTTTTCTTGACAATTGGACAAAGAGTTTGGGGTGTTAAGGGACTTGAGAATGTTTCAGTCTGTGGTCTTTGTAGTTCGCAATCTTGGACTAATTTATACCCCCCAAGGGAATAAAAACTCAAACACAACCTACGATTCCTGAGTAGATATCCCCTGTAGCTTTCATACACAAATAATTGTCTCATCGATATGACTGTCCTATCATGCTAACAATAAATCAAATCCATGTGCCCCCCTCCTTATTTTCCTTGTTAGATTTACTAATAAAAATACCTTATGGCTAGAAATGAATTGCAACAGTGTTTTGAAAGCTGGTGGAATGAGGAAAGTGCAGAGGTGCTGTGGGATGCCCTGGCCAGACGTGCCCTTGATATCTCTGCCAGCTGTTGAAGAGCAATAGCAACCAGCTGGGTGGTTGCAGATCTGGTGATGTGATGAAAAAAAAGAGAAAATAAGGCAATAACAGGAACATCTGAAATGATCACCATCTGTTTAGGAAACATCATACCTGTTAAAATACGGATTTTCATTTTGTTCTCCTTGACTGGTTCAATTCATTGGAGGGGCTGGACTCAGAGATTATAAAATATTTCACCCCGGTTCAGTCTGTTGAACAGAAATGTGTTAATGTTGTTGAACCATTTGAGAAGCAACTCACTGCAGGGGATCTTCTTTGGAAAGCCAAAAGGGAAAGAGAACTGCCACACAACATGGTGTACCCCTCTCAAACACATAACAGCTACTGTTACCAAATACTAATCTGCCGTCAGAATTGTCTTGTGAGACTGTGGCAAAGCCCAAATCACCCCGGCTTTGAAATGAAATTTCTCCTGTATAGGCACGGGACCTCGAGAGCAGCTAGACACATTCTTGACTCAGACTTCTGCCTTTGGAAAACATATTGGATGCTCCCGCGTTGGCCTTTTGACTGTGTATAGTCTTGCCCATGTGTTAGGATGGCAGTGTGCCTGTGCACAAAGTGTTATGCCAGTTTCACAGAGGTAGAAGTGCCAAGCAAAATGGACTTGGCTGGGCAGGCTGCACAGCTCTCAGAGAGTGCGGCGAGGCTGCAGTAAGTCTTTTTTGGTAACAAAAATGTCAGAGGAGTAGGACGAGTCTGTTCTCATGTTTGTTGACATCCTTATGCTGAAGGAGGTTGTTCAGGAAGGAGAGGCAGGTTTCTGTGTGTGTGTTGTGGGTGCCTGGCATAATTCTTGAGGCAAGACTGTGGTATTAAGTTGTAGGCTGTAAGGATCTCTTGGCAGTCTCTGTGGGAAAGAGCCATAGGACATAATTCCTTTAGGTTCACAGCTGGATTGCTGCTATACTCTTCCTCTCCCCCTGTAGTTGGTGTAATCAAGGAAGTGTCTGATCCCTTTCATATGTAAAAAATTAAAGAGAAAGAAAGAGAGACTTTAATGAGGTCTTTTTGGTTGCCTGTGTTATGGTTTCACTGAAGCTCTAGAGAGGAGACTGTTGCACTGTGAGCTACAGCCAGGCTGTGGGTAAGTCTACCCGACCATCATGTGTCAGTGACTGGAAAGAACAATTAGTTGAATAAATCATGTGAATGTCCATTTAATGGCATCATCCAGAAAATCCTTTCCTCGTGTAGCAATAGCAGTTTGCCCTCAACTACCTGTAGTGGTACGCAGGGTGGTTTTCTAATGTACGTATTAAATCCCTCAAACCGAGAGACAGCAGGATGGAAGTGCTGGGACTCTGATGCCAATACCTTTACAGGACTTTAGGACTTTGGAAAATACTATTCTTTCTGCCCTGGAGCATATGTAACCTGAGTGTAAAGTACTCTAAATACAGATCATGATAAATCTTCAGCTGGAATGATTAGAAAGAGAGGGGGATATTTTTGCTTGATAGCTCTCTGTGTATGTAGCCACAGGTGAGCAAGAAGCATAGGTCAGGTAAGTGACAGAGCCTCTTGTATTTAGGCCCAGAGCTGGAGAAGGTCACCCTTGTAATTTGTAGGTTTACTTTTAGCAGACAGTGCCAACATTTCATCTTACCTGTGCATAAATGCCTAACCACACTTGCAGAGGAACCTGAGAGCTCCATCCCATTTACCAGATAAAAATAATTGTGAATAATTTTTTTTGTTTGTTTCTTTTTTCCTTAAGATTTTCATGTTTTTCACAATTCAATGTGTTCCTTTCTAGATGACACCACTAATAAACCAGGCCTGTGACATCCTGCTGTGTAACTTGAAAGTCTACGCAGATTCTGGCAAAGCTTTTGATATCCAGAGGTATGTTCTACATGCCAGAAATTAGTAGCAGATTAAAAAAAAAAAATTCAGTAGCAGTAGTTATTCTAAATACTCACTTACTGTATAAAAGTTTTTTCTTCTTCCCTTATTTTTAAGAGTGGAGATCATAGTTTAATAGAGGATGTGTCTGATAAATTCCTTTTCTTCCCAGGGGCAACCATTGCATACTTGAAAAGTAATTTTGGTAAAACATCTAATGTATTTCTAGTGGTTGTTTAATGAAGTTTTAACAGCTGGAAGCAGAAAGGAGGGCTGTGTCAATCCCTGCCCAGTCTGTTCACTACAGTCTGCCAATAATGTACAAGTATAAGAATTGATCTGATATCAGATATCTCCGGTCCATCACCCTCTTGCTTTTTTTTATATGAGGTTTTTTTGAGCACTTAATAATTCTTACCAGATTCTTCACATTCCCCCCTCATGGCACACTAGCCTTTTGTGAAACAACGGGATCGGTACTCCAGATGAGAATGCACCACTGGTTTATAAAATGACGTTTTAATATTTTCCATATTGTGCTTTCATTTGTTATGCATTTAATATCCTATTATCTTTTTTGTTGCTCTTTCATCAGAGGTTTTCACTGAACTGTTCACAACACTGTCTTCTCTGAGTAGATGCATTTTCTCTAGGACGCAGTGCAGCGTATGAGTGGTTTGAATGTGTTCTTTCTAATAGGTCCTATTTTTGTGTACACTTCATTTGCTGGGTTGGTCAGTGCCCTCTGAAGTTCTTCATGATTTTCCTCAAACTAAAGAAGCACAAATAATATTGTTTCATCTGAAGAAATGGATATTTAGCCACAGTTCATTCATCTCTTTTCAAGGACATGTATACATGTACACATGCAAGTGTATGTGTGTGTACAGAGATCTCTTTATCACCTGAAGAGATGCTATAAAACCTCAAGATATATTACACTAGCTGAGTGCTCTGATGAAAATTGACCTTTTGAGTCCTTCTAGACTTTTCCCTTTTTTCCACTTTTCTTTTGTCTTTGCCTGGTCTCTTAGCTATTGATCTATTATAGGGTTTCACCTCTCAAGAGGCATTTTAGAAAAGAACTTTTGAAAGCATAAATGAATGATGTTGACCATCTCAGAACATGATCTTCCAGTTGTTTTACCATACTACCATTTCAGCAGGTTTGACAGTTATAAATGTGATTCTTATTCCACTGCAGTTTCACAAAATTGCCTTGGGATTTGATTTTGGATGTAAATACCATATCTATAACCTCCTGTGATCTTGTATGTTAGTTGTCTTTAGCCATTTTGTGTTTTGCCAACAAGTCAAAATTTAGTTTTTAAGTTCTTTTTCAGTACCTTGGAGAGATAAATGTTTGAGTGCCCCTGAAATTATTGTTTTTAACATTTCAGCTTCTAAAAATTCTTTTTTTCTTTTTTTTCGTGTGTGTGTTTGTAAGAGTTGGAGACCCAAAGAAGTTACTTCACCTTGCAGTATTGTTGTAATCTTTCAAATCTGATCTGGTGTCATCAGAATGACAGCGCCCAAAGATCATAGTTTAGAAATACTGCTTCACAATGTACACAGGATATAATGGGCCTGACTCTTGACCTTCTCTTCGTACATGCTCATTCAGGTTAAAACCCCAGAGACTGAAATTAGCCTTTTGTAAGAGATCATAGAAGAACATTCATTTCAGACTTGACCACAGATCAGAAAAATGAAATTTCAAGGATATTTTACATTCTCAGTCCACTTATCTCAAAACTAAATAGCTGCTAAAGCCCAGTAGAAAAATAAAGATGGTGAGGCAACTGGATAGATGGTTAGATATGCAGGGAGAGATTCAGTAAGTTCTGAAGTTTCTAGATCATGGTCCACAGATGATTTGTAATTCTTGAAGCACTGGCTGCTCCTCTGCAGAGATACAGATTTCACATGGTGGCAGTTCCTCTTGGTTTTGTCCATGGATTTACATTACAACAGAGGTATAGAGAAGAGGAAGGAAATCCTTAAGCAGTGTTATTTTATTTAAGCAACTCTTGTCTCTGAGAGTTTAGGCGGGACTGGTAATAGATTTCAACTGGGTTTTGCAGTTGAAAATGAGAAAGGAGTGATCTCTTTTATTAGGATGCATACTAAGAAAATACTTATGAATCTCTGACGACATGTTGCCTTTGATTTCTAGGTAATAAAAAATTAAACTGTTTATTTCTAATAAATTTTTGATGGAATTATTGAGCGAAATGAAAATATGTTCACTTTATATGTGGAGAGAAGGTGACTGTTATTAAGCATCAGCATTTGTCAGAATGATGGAAACATCTCTTGTTGGCAAAGCTCAAATCTAAAAGGAAAAAGAAACTCAGTGGCAAAAATTAATGCTATGTGATGTTTGTAGAAGCAAGATACTAATGGATATGTGATTTGTAGATAACAATGTATAATTCTTCAATTCAATGCAGGTGTTACAACTGCTTTACGTTGGATGTCGTTGGTAGCGTAGCTTTTGGTACTGATGTGGATTCCAAGAAGAATCCTGATGACCCCTTTGTTAAGAATTGTAGAACATTCTTTGAAATGTCTTTGTTTAAGCCTCTCCTCATTCTAATCCGTGAGTATAGTCTACATTTGTTTTCTTCCTTATGGTAACTTCCTAAAAGTCATTCTGAACATACTGAAACCATTGCAGGAAGATTTATAGCTGACTTTATTTCAGAGGTGTTCAGAATGCAACCTACAGGCCAAATACACCCTTGAGATTTCCACCATATGCGCTGCAGCTTCTGTCACCATTAATAAAACTTGCTCCAGAAACTGAGAGTCTTGGAACACAATGCTCCAGGTTCATCTGAGAGAAAAGTTTCTGGGTCCTGCAGTTTTTATGGTATTTGTACACTTCTCATTAAAACCAGAGTAACAGCACTTAAGTGTAAAGTTTTTTGAACATGGTAGAGATTGAAATCCCATCTACTAACAACATTAACAACCCACCACAGAAAAGAGGTGGAGGAGCATAAGCAGATAGTGTAAGTCCTCCCAATTATTTTTTGAATAGCAGCAGCAGCCTGGTTAGTGGCTATAAAGGATAAAGATAACAGGCATCGTGAAAAGAATGCACTTATTGTCAGATGAATAGATAGCAATGCACGAGTGAGGTATAAAGCCATTTAATTCTAGGACGCAGAAGCTAAGGCTTCATGGTGATGATGGTCTTGTTAATTCAAGGGCAGTAAGAATTGTAGATGAGGAAGCCACACCATAATCAATCCTATTGAAGTTTTATCTTCTTGATGTCTAGACCTGCACTCAGTAATGTCAGGTGGCACAATGGCAAAGTTTTCTGTGCCCATCTGATCCTGCTGGCATTACAGATTGCACCTGGACTCACAGCACATGAACTGTTTCCTTCTGGAGTTGTGTATCCAAATTGTCCCGGGGTTAATGTTTAACCTGATTGCGAAGTGTGATTTGTGACCAGTTTCTTAAGGGACAGAAATGTGCCCCTACATGTCTAAGAGTGTACCCTTCATTAAAGCAAGTCTTTGTAGGGTTTGAGGTTGGATTCCTTGGTTCATCTCTTCTGCCGATTCATTATGTGGTCTGAATTTCCACACTGTATTGCTCTATTGCCAGGACAGGGTTTGTCCAATGACTGATTTGTTAGTTTTACGTTGTTCATAAGTTAATGAGGGGTTTATTAGGATGCAAGACTTCACTCAGATTTCTAGTTCCTGACTATGAAGGCCATGGGCTGGAGACCATTCTTCCAGAATGTGCGACCTGTTTAGAGAAGCAAAATAAAAGAGAATCATAGAACAGTATGGATTAGAATGGACCTTTGCAAGTCATTTAGTCACACCCCCTACAATGAGCAGAAATGTCTTCAATTAGATAGGTTGCTCAGAGCCCTGTCCATGCTGACCTTGCATGTTTTCAGGGATGGAGCATCCACCACTTCTCTGGGCAACCTGTTCCAGTGCTTTACAACCTTCATTGTGAAAAATATCTTCCTTATATCTAATCTAAATTGGCTTTCTTTTAGTTTAAAACCAGTAGCCCTTGTCCTATTGCAAGAGGCCCTGATAAAGAAAGAGTTTGTCCTCATCCTTCTTGTATGCTCCCTAATACTGGAAAACTGTAAATGAGAATGAACACTACACAATTTCATAGGTTGGTGCCACAAGCTGCCAGGCTAGTTCAAGATCCCACACCTTCTCTGTGTAATTGGGTAGGTAGAGGAAATAATGCTCCCCTTTGTTGTGGTGGCTCTGTGGCATCAAAAAGCTGGACCAAAATCCTGAAGCATTGTGAAAGCAAACTTGGAAGGCATCTGTCTGGCAGGAGAGTCCTGGACAGCATGGCATTTCTAAAAGGAAATCCTTTACCAGCCTGTGAGGGTGGAAGAAAAAGAGGGAGAGAGGAAAAAACAAGTTTCACAAAGGGAACACATCCCACTTGATGAGTTTTATAATATTAATGAAAGAAGCGGGAGGGGAAGACTATTATATGCCTTCACAGTCTGATTCAATGTTTTCTGCTTTAAAATATCTTACAGTTTCTTTCCCATTCATAATGATCCCACTGCTACGCATTTTTCCAAACAAGAAACAAAAGGAACTGAATGGATTTTTTATCCAAACCATAAAAAATGCAATTGTCTACAGGCACCAGCAAGATGCAGCTGAGGTAAGGCTATTTCTGTGATAAATATATGAGTAAGCAAATGTTTTGAGAAAAACTGTAAGTGACATAAGCCTCAGTTTAAAAAGCAAACTCAGTCTGTTCGAACAGCCAGAGTATTTTAGTGAAGATTTTATTAACTTTTAGCTTTATGTACCATCAGGCAGGGTTGGTGTTTATGCAGAATTGTTAACACACTACAAGATTGCTTCTTTTAGTATTTCTGTTCAAGTAAGGATGCAGAAAATGTTATATGACTTTTCAACCCAGTTTCTAGACCCAGAAGGAAGGATTCACCCTGTAGAATTTCTTCTTGTCTTAAACTCAGGTGTTGTGTCTATGCTAACTTTTCCTTAAGAACCAGAGAAAAAGAAGGCCCCACTGAGTGTTTCAACCCAATCATTACCTAGGAGCTGAGGCACATTTTATAAGCCCTGTGATGGTTCCTACAGCTTTGCAACATGGAAAGAACCTGAATGTCTGGTTAGAGCAGTCGAGTGATATAGAGATGACTAACTAGAAAGGTAGTAAATACCACCTGAAATATGCAAATCAATGCATATGCATTAGTAGCAAATAATTTGTTCCTGCTTTGTTTGGTCATAAGGCAGTCTAAGGGGTTTTTTGTTTGTTTTTTGATCGCTGTTGTTTATGAAGTATCTGAAGGCACATGCATTTCTGTGAACATCTCTCTATTATTGGTATATGAAGCATTTGGAAATAGTTGCTTCAGTTCTATGATACAAAAGTTCTTCAGGTCTGCTTGTCTTTTTGGACCATTTTTTACTGCAGACTGCACACAGTATCCCTAAAAATAAGTTAACCAATTAATTATGGATGTGTAGTGAGAAACAAAGAATATCAGTGGGAATTCCGTTTTTAAGGTAGCTGAGACAAATTTTAACAATTGAGATGAACCGCACTACAACACAGACATTAAAGAAGCTGTTAATATTGAAATATAAGAGATGTTTCTGAGATGAAGAGCAATGCTGATGGGCTAACAGCACAGGTGAGACTGGGTCCTCCCAACTTTTTACAGTTTTTTGGCCTCACCGCTTCACCCCAGCTGTCACCTTTCAGGATAAAATGAATTTTAGTTTACCTTTAGTCTACCTCCAGAAGACATTTAAAAATAACATTGATATTCAGAAGTATTGCTGCTCTTTGCTGTATTTTCTAACATGAATGGTGTATCTAAGCTGCTTGCAGACACCTCATTTCTAATGCACAGGTCCAGTGAGAACTTTTAATGGCATACTGATGTGGCTGTATGTATGGAAAGATTTGGATCAAAGATTCATGCCAAAGGGGTCTGTATGAAAAGTCTGTTCTGTGTATCAGTTATCAAAGGATAAAAGGGACAAAGAAATAATCCAACATGGATTAAAGGTAGTTACTGTATTAACTGTTATTAATAAAATGCGGTGTATTTCTGTGGCAGTAGCACGGAGGGCTTCGATCATGAGTGGAATCCTTCACTATACTTGAGATGGTCACTCCCTTATAAAAGGGAAAATGGAAAGAAAAGCAAGATTAGTGACAACAGGTCGAGCACAGAGGGTAACAGTGAATGGGGTAACATCAGACTGGTGACCTGTCACTAGTGGGGCTCCAGATTAAGGCCTTTGCTCTTAAAAATCTTCATAAATTACTTGGATGCAGGACTGGGAGGGATACTAAGCAAGTTTGCAGACTACACAAAACTGGGAGGAGCTGTTGACTCCCTTGAAAGCAGGAAAACCCTGAAGAGAGACCTGGACAAATTAGAGGCCTGGGTAATCAACCATATGAAGCTGAACAAGGAAAAGTGCTGGATTGTCCACCTGGGATGAGGCAACCCTGGATGTTCGCACAGACTCGAGAATGAGAGGCTGGAAAGCAGTGCCAGCAAAGGGACCTGGGGGTCCTGGTCGATGGCAAGTTGAATATGAGTCAGCAGTGCCCTGGCAGCCAGGAGGGCCAACTGTGTCCAGGGGGGCATCAGGCAAAGCATCACCAGCTGGTCAAGGGAGGTGATTGTTCTGCTCTGCTCTGGTGCAGCCTTACCTTGAATATTGTGTGTGGTTTTGAGCACTGCAATATTAAAAAGATAATCAGCTATTAGAGAGGGTCCAAAGGAGGGCAATGAAGATGGTGAAGGGCCTTGAGGGGAAGCCACGTGAGGAGTGGCTGAGGGCACTTGTTCTTTCAGGCTGGAGGAGACTGGGGGGAGACCTCATTGCAGTCCACAGTTTCCTCATGAGGGGAAGAGGAGGGGCAGGCACTGATCTCTTCTCTGTGGTGACCAGTGACAGGACCTGAGGGAATGGCCTGAAGTTGTGTTAGGGGAAGTTTAGGTTGGATATTAGAAAAAGATTCTTCACCCAGAGGGGTGGTTGGGCACAGGAACAGGCTCTCCAGGGCAGTGGTCACGGCACCAAGCCTGACAGAGTTCAAGAAGTGTTTGGATGATACTCTCAGGCACGTGGTACAACTCTTGGGGATGGTCCTGTGCAGGGCTAAGGGTTGGACTCAGTGATCCTTGTGGGTCCCTTCAACTCAGCATATTCTGTGACAAGAGCAGGAGGCAGAAATCTGTGCATATGCAGCCTGTTTGCAGGTTTTACTGGTTGATGGAGCAGAGGTATAAGGTTATATTGGAAGAAATATAGGGAGATGCTGTAAGAGATAACACATGGCAGTAGCTACCCAGTATCAGGGCAGTGTGGAGGAAAGTACAAGGTCCATGTTTGCCTTAGCAGTGTATGCATAAGTCCATGGACCCATCTGCTCCTGGACTTTTGCCTAGTTTGCAAAACTGGCATGTGGGAACTATTTCAAATGCTGGGAGTTAAACACTTAAGACCAGATTTCTAAGGGCACATTAAATTCCCTTTGCAGTTCAGGGTTATTACTGTGGCTTTCAGAAGTGGCTGGAAAGTTTGGAGCTTCCTCTTTTTCCCTTTTCACTGTCTGTTTTGTTACATGCTCTTAGAATTTTGACTGTTTTGGGTTGGTGGTGCATGAGTCTTGTTACAAGTGCGGGCAACTTAATAATTTGCCAGGGGCATAAAAATGGTATGTGAAACAGATAAAAATGCAGGGTTTTTTAAAATTAATCCAGAAATTAAATCCATAGAGATTAGGTATCCCAGGTAGCCCTGCATGTGAAGGAGAATTATGTCCTATGTCCTAGGTCTGAAATGATGAAATGTACCCACTGAAGCCACTCAAAATTTTGGCATTGAATTTTAATGAGCCAAGATATAACTGGTTTGTGCTAATATTGAGAGCTGTAAGCCAAGTTTTATTGTCTCCCTGAGGTCCATCAGGCCAATGGGTATTCCTTAGGTTGCCACATTCCTAGATGTTACATTGTGTGCATCTTTTACTCCTCATTGATTTTAACATCATTAAAAATACTTTTGGGTTCTCTTCTTGAGGTGGGGGTGGTGGGAAGGGTGAAAAAAGCCTTTGGAGCAAACAATGAAAAGCTCCATGACAGTGATTCAGCTGAAGCTTGTCTTCCTCTCATCTGCAGCTAATGTGAACAAAGAATAAAGAAAGGCCAAAAAACAACGTGGCAAGCAAAGTCAGCCTGTTATCATCCCTGTTCTATCAGTAAATGAAACAATGCTTCTGAATGCCTAAAGACAATCCCATGGGTAGATAGTAATTTTACAGCCAGGTTTAGATCTAATAATATGCTTGCAGCTAACATGAGATCTGTGATGTCACTTTCTCTCATCCTGTCGTTTAGTGGTGCAGATGTCATTTTAATTATATATTATCTTTCTGTGGTCACTCGAATAATTTTAGTCCTGGATATTCAACTCATTTGGCTTATGTACAAAAACATTTAGTGGTTGTACTTTAGAAATTTTAATATGTTACATTTATTCATGGATTCAAATTATTGTAAAAGGCTTTTCCCACTATTTACAGAAGAGCAAATTTACCCTGCTCAGAAGAAAAAGCACAAATTTAATGCACCACTTAACACCTACTTCGAAGACTCCAGCAGGATTTAAGTGTTCAAATACCTTATCCTGATTATCTGCCCAGGTTTAAATTTTTCCCTGAGGCAAAATGTTTCCAGAAACAGGGCAGATAGACTGTTTATTTCAATAAATGATCTTTGATAGATTTTAATTTAATAATCTGATATGCAAATCATCATTCATGTAAGAGTTGTCTTATATCATGTTATAGCTCAGTTCATAACCTACCAGTTTCTTTTAAATTATGATATCTAAATGAAGGAGTCTTTCATAGTACTCAAAACTGAAACTCCTGTCCAAAACTGTGGGTTGAAACTAAGCCCTCTGTCAGCAGATGGAAGTCCAGAGTTTAATTTGTAATCCACAGTAATAGCAACTGGAATGTAACAATTTAAGAGTATTGCAAAACATTATTTTTGGAAAATCACAACAGATCTGTGGGAAAATCCATTTTTCAAACTATGCATCCTTTAACAAGAAGAATTGAAGAGTTCATGAAGGCTTCAACACATTGTTCTGACATCTCCTGATTTTTCCAGTCATACTGTCTTCTGTGAATGCATGATTCAAGGTCACGGATCCATGCCAGGACAGTAGTGATCCAGTGAGGTTTCTGATGATTATCAGCTCCTTCTTGGTGGTCTCAAGCTGATTTGAAATGAGAGGATGACAAAGCACAGGGAAGTATCACCAGAACTGTTTTCATTGGCATCTTAGTTCACAGTTTAGTTGGTCTGGATGGAGACCTACAGACTACCTGAATGCTTTTAATGTAAATGCAGAACAGACAGAAGGAACCACAGGAGAATAGTGTGAAGGCTGTGCTGCTGTGAGCTATGCTTTCCATCGAGCACCGTGGTGTAAAGCCACAAAAACCGTACAGTGTTGTCAGTCCTGGTGATGATCTGGCGTCCTGTGGATTGGTATGGCTCTGGGATGCTCTGTTACTCTACTGTGCCAGGCAGAGATCAAAAGAGGTTGTCGTCTTGTCAGCAATTGCCAGTGAACAATTGCAGACCCCTC